GCCAAAAGATACTTAGGACCTGGTTCTAGAGTTCTGATGGTAGCATCTCCACCCTTTGCAATCATATGACTGTATTTTGGGTGCTTGGCAACCTTCTCATCTGTATAGCTGGTTGCACTGTTTTATGACTTTTTTTTTTCAGGCAAAAATGGCTCTAGTACTGTGGTTGATAAACATTAAAAAATGGCTCTAGGACTGCATCAACCTGTTCATTGACCACAGCATTCACTTAATGGCCACCACAAAAATGTCATAAAAGGAGATCCATCATGTAGGTGCTTCAACTTGCAACCGTCAAGACTTACAATGGGAATTCCAGACTCCATTACAGTCATAAATCCAGACTCCAGAGCTACCTGTAGTAGCATTTGAGTGATAAGGCCTGTGTTATCATTGCCATTTCAGGCACCACAACATGAAAATTTATTAACCTGTTGGCCAGTACTATGCTTAGTATACATAGCTATAATACTCACTTGTTTGGCCTGATGATGAATGATGAATGGGACCATTCTTATTCTGTGATGAGAAAAGATGGGATGTTTCTTTTCCAAAGGGCTGCTGCTCCTTAAAAGGTATTAAATTCATACTTCAGCTATGAAGTAAAAATAAATCAAACTTTATTCAAATAACTTCGAGTAAACGCTTGATTTACCAGATCTTAATTCAACAGATATTCGATGCAATGGAGAAAGCTTTTATGTATACTGTACATCTCTGTGCATTTCCCATTTTTATATATATGCAAAAAAAAAAAATCCTATTTGCCATTTTAGGCATGCTGGAAAATCCTATTTGGATTTAATGGGGTATAATGGATATCCCTTCCGACCAGCAGTCCATTAAATTGAAGATTTACAGTAATTGGTTCTATGAAAGCTTGTGTAACAATACTTCACTTATCATCAGCTTTATAGTATTTTTGTTTATTTGTTTATAAAATTATATGGCCGCCTACTCACTCACAGCAACTCTAGGTGGCTTACAAGCAATAAAAACACAATGTAGAAAATAAAAAAAACAATAATTTTAGTAGCTTAAAACTGGAAAATAAAAGTATTGGTGAAAAATGTAACCAAATGTAACTTTTACTTACATGCATGGTATTTACCTGAATTTGATTCGAAATAGCTTTGTCTATACAGTGTAACTCATTGATCCCAAGGAGGTTGATTTTCAATCCGGTGGTCTTCCATTTGATAATGTCCAATTTACCTTGGCTCACTCTTTGGACATTCCATGTTGCTATATGAGTATCTTCATATAGTGCAGACCTTTGCTTTAACCAATGGCTGCATCAGAAACTGGGATTCCTGCTGGATTTGCCCTAAGTGCATCATTAATGCCTTGACTACTCACTACAGATCATAAATATCATATCTTTTGGCATCTCATTCAATGAAATGCATCTTTCCCTGGAATCAACCAACACAAGGCCAGCTTCTTCAAAGACCTGTTGACGTGTTTCACCTGTCCCCACAGACTTCGAATCACTTTTTTCCTTTTTGAATCCAGGTTGCTGCACAACTCTGATAAATAAATGAAAGCATTTTAAACTGTTACAATAGTGATGGCAGCCTTCATCTTTAAGCATTTGAAATATAACAATAAGGCATTGCACTGGATTTGACCATCAAGTGCAGGTGATTCAACGTGTTAAGTTTCATTTATTATTAATGAAAAGAATATCTAAACTCTTGGCAGCTTCCCAAGAGGGACTTGGAGTGTAAAAGCTACGGTGTAAAAAACTTTTTTTTTTTTAAGTGTCTGTTTTCATCCATAACTATAAGTCTCTTTGGCTGAATATGAATTTAGTAAGACTGCTTGCCATGGTAATACTGCTTTTATTTATAAGAGAAGCCTTCATGGCTATTTGTTATCCTGCTAATTCACTAACTCCACTTCTATCTCCCTTTCAAACTTTTCCATCTCCTCCCATTTGGGAGGTTATACTGCTGTGCTGTCTCTGAAATATAAAAGATTTCATACTCGGACCAGATTAAGGGGAGAAAAGTCCTTTAATTTCTCTTCTCCTTCATCTTCCTGGGTCTTTTTTTGCCAACATAACAGATGAGAACAACTCCCTTTCTGCTCTGCTCTGTATTCTACTGCTTATCATTTTAAAATGTAGCATGGTGCTAGAGAAATGAGGCCTTATACTCACACCTCTTGCACGGAATACCATGGTTATACAATTTAGTGGTCAGCTTTGAAATTAATTCATTTTGAGCCTCTGGTGCTGAAAAAAAGAAACATTCTTTTTTAGCCACTTTTTTGTATATATGTATATGCAGGGATACCCTGAGCAATGTACCCAATAGGATCCAGATTGTTGGGGGCAATATGTTGACATTTGTACAGCCCGCTTAGAGAGGGCTATAAAGCACAAAGTCTAAGTGCTATTGCTATTAAATGAATAGAATTAAATTGTTTCCCCACCCCAGCATACATTCCCTAATCTTGCTAATATCTACTAGAGAACTTTTCTTCTTCTCTCTCTCTATCTCTTTCTGGAAAGAAACATTGCAAACTGCTGAAAAAAAATATGGATGATTATGTTCTTTATAGCAATGCTCTTTTTTGATCCTCAAAGTCCTGGATTTGATTATGTTAACAGAAAATTGCACAGCTATTTATATGTTTATTTAAGAATGAATGAAACCTCTGTGTTATTGTGAGCAGGCTTCTACTCTTGTGCCATCCAATTTATTAGTAGTTTGTTCTCAGATATTTTGTTTTTAAATCCCTTTTGGTCATCTGTCAGATGCCTTGTTTGATAACCTTTTAATCTCTTTAGCCAGGACAGGATTATCTGCTTGCTTGAAAGAATGGGGAAAATGGAGTGGAGATACAGTAAACGCCTCCAAGGCAGCTATATTAAAGAAGTGGTTATTAGATCATTTTTCTTGTTTCATAGATAAAAATTAAAAACTATTTCCAAAGAGTGGGAAGAAGGGAAGGAAGGTTCATTTTATACCCTTTTGAATGTATTACATTCTGATTAACTAAATCCTTGCCGTCTCAAGGTAATCCACAGGTAGGAAGGGACATTTTATTATCCCTAATCTGAATTTGTGATAGAAGAGAGAAGATTCTGCTTTACCCTGACCTTCAATCTCAGGGATAATTCCTTTGTGATATTCTTGGGCACAAATAGTCTTTCTGATTCTAGCCATCTATGCAAACTCCAAGCAGGATTAAAGTTCCTTTTCAGAGCATTAAAAACAGCAAAAAGAATCAATTGTTCCATGTCGGAAAAGGCTGGTTAAGATTTCATCACAGAATATTATAAAGGAATGTCTCCCTCCCCCATCTGCCACAAATCCTTTTTTGCAGCAGGAAAGAAACAAATAGGTAGTTGAAATATTACGATTTTTTTTTTTTTTGAAACCTGGTGAATCAATGTGGTATTTAATTTTCATAATAAATTCAGAGGGCATTCATGAGGTCACCAAGGAGTCTCTCCAAACTCACTACTCAAAGCATCATGTTACCATATTTTTACCTGATGGTTCAGGATAAGGTGCTTTGGGGTTCCAGTGCCTTTTGGTATGGTAAATTAAAGAATAATATTTGTGGCTGAGAGTTGAAATGATAGGTACTTGATGCTCTCTGAGTTTAGCTCTTTTGCATCAGCAGCAAACCCAGTATAAACATGAAAGTATTCAGGGTGGGCCGCTGGGGGTTCGCAGGGGTTTGGGAGAACCTCTGGCTAAGATTCTGTGCAGTTCGGAGAACCCCCAAATCCCAGTCCTGGCTGGCCCCGCCCACACCGCCCCTCCCAGGAGTCCCCACACAGCCTGTTTTGGATGCAGGTAAGTGCAGGGCATGCGCGGAGGCTTGGGGAGGGTGAAAAATGAGCCTACCGAAAGTTTGGGAAGGCCAGAAATGTTTCTGGCATCCAGAGGGCCTCCGGAGCCTGGGGAAGCCGTTTTCATCCTTCCAAAGGCTCGAGAAAAGCCTCCAGAGCCTGGAGAGGGCAAAAACGCCCCCTTCCCCCACTGTGGTGCAGGAGGCCAACTAGGCCATGCCCACCATGGCCATGCCCACCCAGCAACTGGGCAGAAAACCACTTGCTAAAATTTTTGAAGCCCACCCCTGGAAGTATTATTGGCGAATACATCCTATTATGTCAGTCTTCTGAAACTTTAAAATTTTAGTGAAGACATGTGCAAGTAGGCATTAAAGTCCTTTGATCTACTAATCTTTTGATGATTAATCATCCATGTGTAGAACAGGTAGTCCAGATGGAGAGGAAATCGACTGTAACAAATGTTGTACTTGTGATAATGAATTCTGCATTCAATATAATTAATTTACATAAAGATTTCTGTATTGCCATTAAAACAGTCACCTTATCCAATATAACTTACTCTGATATTTATATTGGTCCCTTTATTAACTTTGTGTAGGGACAAATGAAAAATATATCTTTCTCAAAAGCTTTGTCCAAAATAGATAAAGGACTGGTTGTTGATGGAATAGTTAAAATGTTTTTTTTTCCCCTTCTGAAAATGCTGGGTGTTTTAAGATGAGCCTTTGATTTGCAAACTGCCTGCATTTTTCTATTTCTTTTTTTAACCAGGAAAAGATCAATTAAGTGGAAAAGATTGACTTCCTTTACAATGTCATTTGATTGCTACTGCCTGGAACTCTCCATCTGAAAACACCAAATTTGCTTTCTGGCACGCACATATTTCTGCCATTTAAAACTCTTGAGATGTACATATAATTGAAAACTATTGTGTTTTATTTGACCGGTAGATTTACAGAAAGACATCCAATTATTTATTAAAGAATGCTACTAATTTGTGAGGTTTCTTATGCTAACTTCCCCCCTCCCTTTTGTCCTCAGCATGATGGAACTGTTCATAGTTTTACAGTTAATCAAGCTTCTGTTTTAATCCTGATACAACCATGCTGAAGCAGGAAGGCCTTGCTTTTTGCCATTTTCACTGCAGCTCCCCTTTTTCTTTGTTTGCATTGCTTATTGATTCCAGGGGTTATTCTGTTACTTCTGGATAAATTGCGCAAGATGAAATGGGAGCAGATGTGGAGACTCACAGCTGAAAGAGAGCTAATGAGCATGCTCTCCACCTCTTTGGCTGACCAGGTGAGTGTGTACTGACATCAGGACTAACCCTGAAAGTAGGGAATGGAAAGAGAAGACTTACCATTTACATTACAAAACTTTTCCAGCCAATGTTGATGGTTCACTATAGGTAGTCCTTGACTTAGAACCATTTGTCTGTTCTGTTGCCTTTTGGCAGAAGATACAGAACAATTAAAACTCAGACCATACATTTTCTGAATAGGTTTTTATCCCAGAGCTATAATTGCACTCAACAATGAACTAAAGGGCCACTATCAGTGAGCTGTTGGACAGCATTATTTGGTCTGTTGTGTGGATGTTTGGGTGGTTTAGGGGTGGGAAATTGTGGTGGGTGGGAGTGTGTTTGGGGATTATTATGTGTGTCTTTGGGTGTTACGTGAATTTTGTTGTATGGGTATACTGTGTATACAAGTACAATGACAATAAAGTTTATTATTATTATTATTATTATTATTATTATTATTATTATTATTATTATTTATATGACCATTCACAATTACAACAGTGCTGAAAAAAGTGATTTATGACAGTTCTTCACATTTCCAATCAACACAACATTCCCATAGTCACATGATCAAAATCCAGGTGCTTATCAACTGGCAGGTATTTAGAGTGGTTGCAGCTCACATGATCACCATTTGCAAACTTCCCAATCGAGTTTCAACAAGCAAAGTCAAATGGGGAAGCTGGATTCACTTAATAACAGTGTGATCGCTTAACAACCAACCAAAAAGGTCATAAAATCAGGTGTGATTCTCCGAGAGATGGAGATTCAGGTCCTAATTGTAGTCATAAATCAAGCAATACCTGTACAGGGATTTTCCTAATAATGATGCTTGTCAGTATGAGAACAACAAATCCAATTTTTCCACAATAATCAGAGTGCAGATACAGATTATATAAGCAAACTATGTTGAAGTATTGGAAGTAGCTTTCAAGAAGCCCACTTTTGTCAATTTGTGAATTGACAAGGGTGAAATCTTTTTAAAATAGGAATTTTACATCTTAAGAATCATTTAACTATTTAAATATTTATATGCTATTTTCTCTGTTGGTCACTGTGCTGTTGAAACAACTTATGAACAAAATAATTGTGAATTAATCAGTTAAAATTGTAGCAAATTTTAATTGAAAAGCATGATGCACAGACTAGGGAAGTCTTTGGCTTGATCTACAGTAGCTTTTTTTTTTCAAAGTTTATTTTTTACTCAGTTTCAGGAGCTTCCCTTTTAGAAATGGAAGGCTGCAGACTTTGAAGGAGCTTTAAAAAAATACCATTTTTTTCTACATTATTTTTGCCATTGTCAGTTTGAAAAGCGTTCTTTATTATTTTGTCTGACTCCTGCTTTAACAATCACCTTTTGTCTTTTTCATTTTCTACCATATCATCTGAGTGCCTCAGATTATTAAGGATATTATCCTTAGAGCATACCTGAGAGTCAGAGAAGACTCATTACTCCCAATTTTTCAGAAAGGTGAACCAATTAATGTTCTGCTACAAAACCAATCAAAACTCCTCAGTTCAGCTGCCATTCCAAAATCATTTCTTTCTTCAGAGTCTATGGAAAGCCACCATGACTACTCTAGAGTTCATATGTATAAATTTAATTTGGCTTTCAGTTTGTCTTTTTAAAATTATATTTTAGGAAGGGAACTCCTATGCTGAGTTGGAGAAATGAACTGGGATTTGAACTTCATTTCTGTAACCAAGAGCAAGAGTTCCTCTCACAGTCCATGCATAGAGTGGAGGAGAAATATTTTGGCAAGCTGTAACAATTGACAAACTTCCCTGCCAGCTTCTCCACTAACTTTCTGGGGAAGTGGCAAAGAAGATTGCAAATGAAAATCACTTGATTGCAGAGCATTTGGCAAGCAATCCTAAGTGTGACATATTGCAAGCATCCAGATAACAATTGATGTGACTACTGGAGTGGCAGGAGTGATGTTTTAAGATGGCCAGAAGTGCTTTATGGAAGGTTGAGTGGTCATTAAACAACTGATTATAAATTGAGGAAAGATTATGCTACCTGGGATTATGCTACAACTTTCAAAACAAATTTATTTTTCCCTTACTCTTTTTTGAACAGATTATGTCTAAATGGCTGATATCTTCCAAAGTATCAGATGTCAGAATATCATAACTAAAATCTCCACCGTTTTTATTGAATTTGGCAACATACCTTTAATATATATTTTAATGTCAGATTAAATATCTGACATTATGGTTTAGTTGTAAAAGCATAATTGGTTTGGTGATGTTGATGTTCCCCAAGAAAACACTATGACAATGAGACCATATCATGTTCATGAGAGCTATTTTCCATATAATGTTTCTTAGCATTGATATTTTACTTATTTTAAAAAAAATTGTATAGCCATCCATTTTAAAACACAACTCTCCTCAGCTCACATCTCTTTATTTCAGTGCTTGAATCCTACCTCATTCCATAGATTTTTGACATAAATTTAGGACTCTAAAGTAACTTAGAGCTGAATGCCGTTAGAAGGGACTTGAGTAAGAGATTACACAGTACAGAGACTGAAGTAAATCTGAGGAAGAAACTCAAAATAATCCTGCCTTGATTTTGTTTAATATTAGAGGGGACAGCAAGAAACTTGGACAAGGTTTCAAAATTCTGCATATAACAATAAGGTAGCATTCTTGGAATCCCTAAAGTGTCTGTTTCTTGACCTACCTCAAAGGTCTGAAACAGAAAAACATTACATTAAAATTTTAAATTAAAATAAAAACTACATTAAACAGACATCAACATTTAGCCAAGCTCATAATGCATTTTGAAGAAGCATGGTCTTTATAGTTTTCCTAAAAATTAAAGAGAGAGGCTATCCAGACTTTGGGATTGGGCAAGCTTCTCCAAAGAGCTGAGGCAGCCAAGGAGAAATCCTATTTTTTGTTCCAACGTGTTTAACATTTTGAAAGGAAAAAGTATTTGAAGCATTCTTTCCTTAAAAGATTGCACAGCACAAAGACAGATGACTTGAAGATGTTCCAAACGTATCCTGGATCGAAAGCTGTATAGGTCAAAATAGCAGAACTATATCCAGAAACATAGGTATCCAATACAGTGCTTAGAATCTTGATGAAATAAGAGCTCACACCCATCAGCAGTTTGAAGTTTTCAAGTGAAAAATGAATCAAAGAGAATCAAAGATTGTGGAACTGCAATTCTTCCCAAAGCCAAATAACAAGTTCACAATGAGCCAGATGATTTTTGAATAGACCGCAATTTCATCTTAATAATAAAAATAGATTGAGCTACTTTTATCCTATTCAGTCCCCAGCTTCCAACACCGGTTAAGAACATACATTATATCTTCTGCTTGGTCTAGTGTGAAAATATACAGGTGGGTATACCATCTATATATTGGTGAAACCTCGCTCTGAACTGATCAATAACCTCTGGAACTACCAAATGAGAATAATTAGAACCATTGTGAAACAGTCCAAGCCCTCAAAGATAATCTAAGAAGATACTATGGTTGATGAGTTTCATAACTTCCCGGTAGCCTGAAAGTCCAAAAAGCAATATTCCTTCCACTCAAAAATCATCCATAATGTTTCCAGTTTCCATCACACAACCAGATCAAAAGTCTGACTGAAAAGTTTCAAGATAATCTTCTTCATCCAGAGTCTCAGAAAATGATATTTCATCGTAATCTCTGAAATCTTTCCTAAACAGGAAAGGCTAGGGACTGGACAATAGTTGTCCAATATTGCAAGATAAGAAAATGACTTATTCTATATATTTTTTTCTCTTTCTAGGGAAAAAAAACTGTAAGCAGTGATAAATGTAGGCACTGTTTCATTACTTTTGCAACATAATGGGTTAGGATCAATCATACTTTCCTACCTAGTGCTCTACATATAATGCTAAATGATAGGTTGGTGGGAAAGTAGACAGACAAAAAGATAGTGCTTTTCCAATACTGTAGATATCGAGATCCGTGTTAAAAAAAAGTTTCAAGTGAGGCATCCTGGGTTTAAATACAAGGGTTATATATGGAATTCAATTTAACTGTCTGAGAAAAGTATAATCTTATAATCAATACCCATTCTGAACTGAAGACAGAAGTGATTGAAGCATTTTGGATTAACTATTAGCCTTGACAATATATAATCACACACTGCATTTCCAGGATGATACACATCTAAAAGTACCTGTAGATGTTTTAGCTGACCATTTTTTTGTTTTTTACCCCCCCTTCCATGTCTTTTTAGCTTATTTTGTTATCCTTTTTTATTCGAAGTGTGGCTTTTCTGCAATGTTCCCTGAATTTTTCTTCCTATTCATCACTACCACCACCATCAGCAACAACAACAAAAAGTGATAAATATCCAAAATCTCTATTATTTCTTTCAAATTTATCACTTTTTTTCTCACTCTGAATTGAAGAGATATCACTGATGGTATATTAGATTACTGTTAAGACCTTATGCATAAAGCTACATTTCATGATAGTCGGCAAGCTTCAGCAGTCAGAACTCCACTACTTTGATTTTGAGTAGTGTGTCAGATAAACCCACAATGTTCCTTCACTAAAATTCTGAAAGAACCCCATTGGTTTCATGTTTCTTTTTAAGCTAACTCAAAGCATTGGTGATCATTATTAAAGTCCACCTGAAGCTGAAATCACCAAACTCAAATTATCATATTTAGGACACATTATGCAAAGATCTCTAAGGGACATGGTGGCTCAGTGGCTAAGATGCTGAGCTTGTTGATCAAAAGGTCAGCAGTTCGCAGTTTGAATCCCTAGTGCCGCATAACAGGGTGAGCTCCCGTTACTTGTCCCAGCTTCTGCCAACCTAGCAGTTCGAAAGCACCTAAAAAATACAAGTAGAAAAATAGGGACCACCTTTGGTGGGAAGGTAACAGCGTTCCATGCGCCTTTGGCATTTAGTCATGGAAGAAACCAGGCTAGAAGGAAATCATGTTGGAGTATATCTATCTGGTTGCTAAGAGTCAGTGGCAATTTGATGGCATATAACTAGTCAAACAATGTGGAAAGTCAATATCTGAAGAAATAATATTCCTACTACAAATTAACAATCAGTGATGCCCTTACCTACACTGTTCTGTTAGAAGAAGTACATTATTAAACTTTTAAAAAAGGAAAAGTTTTTTGGAACACTGCAATATTGGATGCTCTCACTAGGGAAATCTAGTAAGGATTAGGATATATCCTTTTAGCTCCAAATTAAAACACCTTTAAAAAGCAATATTGAATGTCCTGAAGCTCTTGTTTTTAAGTTGTTAATTCAGTTAAGTCTAGATACATTTTTAATTTATTATGGTTTGTTGGTTGGTCTTTCTTAGTTTGAAGTTTGATGCTTTTCACTTCAAATGTTGCTATAAAATGTTTTTTTTTTAATCTTTGATGATGAAGATACAGTATTCAAATTTGATAGTGACATAATGTATGTGGGCAGATTTTAACAACAGCGACAAGGGAATGAGTAGGCTGCTTTGCTTTATAGTTAGTCTTTCTTGAGAACTCAACAGCTGTCAAATGTGAATCAGCAGCAAAGTTTCAGGTGATATTGACAAATACAGAGTCTGACTGACAATGCTTTCAAAGTTAAAACCCCAAACCTTGACTTTTAATTCTTATTTATTTTATTTTATTTTATTTATTCCATTTTTTAGCTGCCCATCTCATAGCAAACCACTAGGCGTCTTCCAGCATTAAAACATTAAAATCCTAATATATAAAATACCTTTAAAAGAATAAAACTAGAAATCCCAATCAAGATAAAGTAAGATGGTTAAAAGATGGGGAGATATATGCAGTGTTTTACCCACATTCTTACAATAACTATAAAGACAATTTGAAATTGCTTTTCTGCAAGGTGAAAAATGTTGTTTGTCTCCTTGTTTATATTCCTAGGATATTTTCAATGCAGTCATCAAACAGAATCCCTTTCTTGTCTATCAGCTTCCCTGTTTCTGGAATGTCCAATTGTCAGACCACACCCGCTCTGAACAATGTTACCGGGATGTTTCTGACCTCAAGGTAAGTATCAGTTAATTGACTGACTAGTAATAGCCAGCTCTTCATATGAGTAGAGAGAACAAAATGATGCAATAGATCTGGTTTGGCTTAGTTTTGCATATACTTATTCACAAGTGTTTTCTGCCAAATTTCCTCAACATTAAAATTAAAACGTACTATTTTGATACTTTTCTCTGAGTTGCACAATTTGGCATATAAATTTCCCTACCCTAAGCAGTTTTAATTCAACTTCCCCTAATATATGCATTTTGTATGCAACCATCTTTTAATACATGCATTTTAATACAAGAGGTGCCTTACAAAATATATTACTTTAGCATTACATGAACAAACATGGAAGTAAGCATTTGTGTTTGTGTAAGAGGTATGGATAATGCATTTTAGAATGATATATAAGTGAGTCGGCTGTAATTAACCAGACTTTCTTTCCTGTCTTTTATATATTTATGGCATAAAACCTAGAGATGTTTTCAGCTCCAGAAAAGAAAAATGCTTATTAAACCTATTTGAAATTGGAAGCACCTGCAGGGTCCAATGGTCTCATCAAAATGAGAACAGCAGCATTGTTGCCATTGCAATGGGAGCTCTGCTCATTTTTAGATATGTGCACAAATACAACAACATACAGAAGGGCTGACTTTTCATTTTAATAGCATGATGTTGCTTTTGTTATTTGCTGTCATCTCTCTATCAAAGCAATCTTTAGTTTCATTTGTGAAGAAAATGGAACCAAAAGAGAATATCACCTCTTTAAAACCTTTATAGATCAGAGTTTTTATGCCTATTAACATATAGTTATTTTCATGTGTACTCAGAAGAAGTAACACTGTTCAGTGAGAATTGTTTCCAGGTAAGCAAGCAATGCAATGGCTTATTGTTCTTATGCCTTAAAAGTGGTTGGACATGGGAGATTAAATGTAATTATTGTCATCTGGTTATCACCATGGGTATTAGCTGAGAGCTTAGAGCAGGGGTGTCAAACTCGTGTCATCATGGCGTCATCATGTGATGTATCACGACTTTTCCCCCTTTGCTAAACCGGCCATGGGCATGGCCAGCATGTGACGCATCTGGCCCATGGTCCATGAGTTTGACACCCCTGGTTTAGAGCATTTCTTCCTTTGGAGAATGGTTAAATAGATTACATAAAACATATTTCATAGAAATGATCATATTATAGGTAGCCGTCAACTTACAACTGTAATGGCGCCCAGAATTTCCACTGTGACTCATGATGGTTGTACATCAAGCCACCCACGTGTCTAACTCAATTTTACAACCTTTTGTGGAGTTCATGAAGTGAATGCTATGGTCGTAAAGAGAATGATGTGGACATTTAAGTGAATGCTGCAATCAATGAGCAAGTCAATGCATTCCTACGAGCATCTTTTTTGCCAGAAGTGGCCAAAAGGTTGCCAAGCACTTAAAATGTCATGTGACTGCAGGGGGCTGCTGCCATTGGAACTCCAGGATCAAGTTGTAACTACCTTTGGAGGGGGGGCATCGTAACTTTGAATGGTCCCTATTCAATTGCTCATTTACCAGGGACTATCTGTATTTCTTTTATTTCACAGACTCTTTCTCAAACATTGGCATTATTGTTGCTCCAATCCATGCAGTAGGATTTTCCAGACACTAAAAAATGTTTTCCACTTAAAAACCATAGATAAATTTTGGAATGTTTACTAAATAAAATACCCCTATGCTTAGACATCTACAGATATAGTCATATGGCTGTAAGGGACCTTGGAGATCTTCTAGTCCAGGGGTGTCAAACTCAAGGCCCGGTGGCCAGATCTGGCCCAAGAGGTGCTTAAATCTGGCCCACGGGGCCACCCTGGAAACAGCAAAGAACCAGCCTATGGTGCCTCTGCCACAGGTGGCCCTCCCAAGCTCCGTTTTCACTGGCAAAGGGTTGCAGGAGGCCGTCATAGCCGATAATGGAGTTCAGGAGCCCGTTCAGGCCACCACAGGTGCCCCCGACATGAGTGACATCAAGCTGGCCAGATCTACCCTAGCCATGCCCCTGGCTCCCTGAGATCAAACACAACCCTGATGCGGCCCTCAAATGAAATTGAGTTTGACATCCCTGTTGTAGTCCAAAGACAAATGCCCGTCCAATCTTTTCTTGAAGTCTTCCAGCAATAGAGCACTCTCAACTTCAGGAGGCAAGCTGTTCCACTTATTAATTGTTCACAATGTCAGGAAATTTCTTCTTAGTTCTAGGTTGGATCTCTCTTTAATAATCTTCCATCCATTGCTTCTTGTCCTACCCTCAGGTACATTGGAGAATAAGTCCATCACCTCTTCTCTGTAACAGATTCTTAACCATTGGAAGACAGCTATCATATCACCCCTAATCCTTCTCTTCGATAGGCTAAATATATCTAGGTACCTTAACCATTCCTCATATGGTTTAGCCTTCAGACCTCTTACCATCTTTGTTGATCTTCTCTGCACTTTTTCCAAGGTCTTAGCACCTTTTTTGTAACGTGGTGACCCAAACGACATTAATGTCGTTAATGCAATATAGAGGTATACTATAATTTTTCATGATTTTGATTTTATCCCACTGTTGATGCAGCTAGGATTGCTTTGGCTGTTTTGGCAGCTGCAGCACATTGGTGGCTCATACTTAAGTGATGGTCCTTCAGGGTACCAAGATATTTGCCATAGTTATTACTGTTGAGCCAGGTCCCACTTATTCTATAGATGTGCATTTGATTTTTTCCAGCCTAAGTGCAGGACCCTTCTTTTCTCACCACTGAACTACATCTTGTTGGCTCATGCACACACATCAGTATAGGACTATGGTCCCTGACCTTTGTGGTTTGGCGGCCCAGCTGGGGCGGGGAGAAGGGAACTGGCCACGCGAGTGGTGGGCTGGCATGCACAGCCCTTGTGCAAGTGGCAGACCAGTGTACATGCGCACAGCTTGACTTACACCAGCTACGGTCTGGCCTGAATATGCACAAGTGTCCACAGGCCTGCCACTTGGGCAAGTTGAGCTGCATGCTTGTGTGGCCCAATTCCAAATAGGCCATGGCCCAGAGGTTGGGGACCCCTGGTATAGGATACTGCCATGCACAAACAAAACAGTGGGACCTGGCTAGGAATGTAAACACATTTTGCCATTAACTCTCACATTCTGCTCCTAACAGACTTCCCAGTGGAACAATCAGTACAATCAAGATAATTCTGAATAGATATCATCTCCAAAAAATCAAAATAATTGGGGCAAAGAAGATGTTGGGAGATGATGCAGTTATTTTATCACATTTACAAGCTGCAGGTGTCTTTTTAAAAATGTAAACAACGTGGCTTTTTCTTCAGTGATGGTTTTGGGCTCCCCAGGTTATTTTTGCAGGGTATTTGGGCAGTCAAAGAAGAGTTGGCTGTTGAATAAAAGGCTTGTACCTATAACAAAAATAGTCCCTGTTAAGTCATAAATTAAGTACAACTCCCAAAAGCTGTCTGAGAGCCAGATCCTCATACAAATTGACTAAAGCAATAGAAGAGAGGGGAATTTTACAAATATGCATATTCCTCATGTTTGCTATATAAAGTAAGTAGAACCAAAGTAATTTTATTCTCTTTATATACTTTTGATGAGGGAAGTGGAAAAGAGAAAGAGATCAAGCTTTTCCATGTTTGTATTATAAGCTAATGGGATAACTGTGCAAATTGCTTTACATCTCCAACCTAATGTCAATGCAGAGAACGATAAAACAAAATAAATCCCTGTTCTATAATTATGCCTAGCAACACCGGGTGTCTCATGGAAGCCATGTTCAGGTCTATTTTTGAAGCAGAGCTGCAGCTTAAAGTTGTTGCTTCATGAGCGAGGCTCTATGGATCATATTAAGCTGAACCGATCAGTTTCATCCAAGAATAATTCCACTTGTAGATCTGCCCTACTTGCATTGGGAAATATATATCTATTAGTTTAATAGGCAGAGCCACTGGTGCATACGTGTGGTCCATGGGGGGAAAATGTGGTTGACATATTTAGCACAAGCTTGATTTTTAAAACAAAAATGTGAAAATTAAGCAGTTTCAATGACATTTAAAATAAATGGCCCGATATAGTATATTTGGCACATTCAGTATTTCATACTGATTCCAGCTGGAGTGAAGAATAATGTAGACGAAACCTCCAGGGGATAGAAGAGAAAGAGATGAATGTTACATGTTGGCATTAGAGGATTAGGAAGGATTGTGTGGGAAGAAAGAATGATAGAATATTTTAAACTCCAAACTAAGCTGGACAAGATCTTAGCATTCCTTAAATCGAACAAAACCAAATTATTCCTATCAAGCAAAAAAGGCACCAATTTAATTTCATCTGGTCCCAAGATCACAGGGATTTGGGGATTTGTCAACATTTACCAAAGTATCAGTATTTTATTTCAAAGTTAGCGATCATCATAAGTGGCTGTTGTTCATTTATATATGTATTTCTCTGTTGCCTTGCTCATAATTTTGAGCAATGAATGCCTTCTGTGTTAGACAAAAGTAGGCAATTTGAGGCTCCAGAACCAGCTGGAGAGAGTTGGAGGCAGGGGGGAGACTTAACATCCTAGCCCTCACTGAGCACAATTTCCTTTTTTTTTTTTTTTAGTAGAATATACTTTTATTTATTTTTTTGAGAAGGAAAAATATACTAACATAATTCAATACAATCAAAATGTTATATTTTAAACAAAAACATTACAAAAAACACTTTAGCAGAGACTTTAATATATTCAGAAAATCCAGCCCTATTTCACATTCAGAGAGTTCATAATCTTAATTGCATCCTTTAAAAAAGAAACAAATAAAAATTGATACCATATATAATTTGATCACTGAAATGTTACTTCCTTTCCAGAACAGTTTAAATCAGAGGTAGGTAATCTATATTTCCTACATAATTAAACATTTCCATAATCCAAATCTCTATGTATAGTGCTATGATTTATAAGAATTATATTACCTGAATGGTATCAGATTGTCTACCT